TTTAAGTCAACAGAAAATGGAAATATACTTTTTAAAGTTTCTAATACTAGGAGAAGATATCATACTCCTTTCTTCATTTAATTTGTGTTTTCCACTTTTTGATTGTTTGTTTGTTTTGCTTCTGTCTTTTTGAGACAGGGTTTTGCTATGTAGTTTACGCTGGCTTTGAACTCCTGGCTCAGCCTCTCAAGGGCTGGGAATTCAGCTGTGCACCACCAGGCCAGCCTCATTTGTGTTTTCTAGTTGTTTCGTTTTATTCCTTTCATCTCCACTAATGATCTACGCAGTTTATGAATTTACAAATTGTATTGTGTTCCAAAAGTGCTACAGTTTTGTGCTGAAGATGGTTATCATCTCCAGCCACACCCTAAATTATCTGTTTAGTGGATCTCTCAAGCAGAGAATTCCTGATAGGATTGGCCTTGCCTTTTTTGGTCCCAGTCTCACAAGTATTCTTTAGCTTATTGGTCATCTGCAAAATCATTGTGTTAAGTATCATCCCTTTACTTTACTGCTACAAAACTCACATCCTGTTTTGTTTTCTTCATGAAGTATGCTGAGACTTTATTGGGTTTTGCAGATTCAATATTAATAGGCTACACCTTCTTATTTCTTTTCCAGTGGAGATTTTATGAAGGAAAATAGAAGAGCAATAACATCATTTATTCAGATGTTAATATATGTATCAAATATACCTTGAAGTGCTCTTAAAGTACCATTACAATGCTATGAAATTCAATAAAAATAAATTTGGTTTTGTTAAAACATTTAAGATTATATGTCATTTATATATTACCTAAAAACTAGTGGGCCTAGTTATGACATGTCTGATAATTGACAGTTATGTTGGGATTGGGAAAAAGCAGTGAACTACTGCATTTCTACCATATAAATTGTTAATATTGTAATAAACAAAATATCCTGACTTGTATTTTTATGTGGGTGCCTAACTCCAATAAAATGGTTAAAGTATGTAATAGATGCTGAAAATTTATGTGCAATTTCTTTGACTCCTTATAGAAACAGAGAACAAAGATAAGAGTGCTTTACTACAGCAACCAAAAAGAGAAGAAGAAGAAGTCTTAGACCAGGGTATGTATCTAGGCCTGTAGTAGTATTCATTATGCAAGCAGGCAACCAAAATTGTAAAGTCATGGCACAGGTTTTTAAGTTTCTCTATGTCAGCCTCACACCCTAGTATTGCTATTCTTCATGCATAATTCATGAAGAAATGATCAGTTATTGCACTTGGCCTTGAAAGGAAAATTCATGAATTTAATTTAGTACCATTAGGTTTTTTGGTCATTGTTTTAGTTCACCTAATATTGTAGCTTTTATGTATGCCATAAATAAGTGTAAATATAATCTTGAAAAACAAAGCTGCTTTTGCAATCTCATAACCTTTACTATTTAAATTTCTTGTGTATTTTATGTGGTTTTTAAGCTCTATTTGAGGTTCAAGAGAAAAGGAATTAAGAATTAAACCCGCTTTTGTCTCTCCTCTGCCTTCCGTGAGGTAGGAGCAATCGTTGTCTTAAGCAGCCATAGTTTTGGATGAAGCTGCTAACTGCTGAGTTACGAAATCACTGCTCTTCCGTTCCCTTAATTTGGGAACACTTGATGTGAGTGGACAGCATACTGTACGTGCTGAAGAACTTCTCTGAATCTTCGTTTCCTTCAAGTTAGCCATCAGAGTGTATTATCCTACCAAGCCATTTTCGGTCTAAATTTGATCTGTTTTAAACAGCTTAATGTTATTGCAAACATAAATCTATTGACAACATAAAGCATGCCAGTAGAGTTTTTCTCCTGTTAATAGATGTTTCCTGTTCTTCAGATTTCTGTAACTGCTGCAAGAACTCTTAAAAACGCATTAGATTGGCTCGGTCAATGTCATTCCTGCTCTAATTGTGTTTACAAAATTAAAGAATCTAGGGCCAGGGATATAGCTGCAAAGTACAAGTGCCTGCCTGTCAAGCACAAGATCCTGAGTTTGATTCCAATACAAAAAAAGAAAAAGGAAAAAAAGAAAAGAAAGTCTAAATTTTTGACATGGGAAATACATGAAAAAGCCTAAAGGCTTTCAAATAATGTAGTTACTTCTATAATATGTTATTCTAACAAAGTAACATTTAAAAAAATACAGAATATCTTAAACTTGCTTCAAAGTTTCAAGTGAAAATTATAATTTTATATCAAAGGGTTACAGAATATAATTTCAAATAGCTAATTTTACCCTTTTGTTTAGGTACTTGTAAAGAATACAGTAATAGTAACCTAAATAAAGTAGTATTAACAGCATTTATTATAATTATAGTGAAATTTGTTCAGATTTGAAAGGAATTATTTTGTGATTGCACATGCTATCTGAAATAATTTGATCAACTTTAAAATTCTTGCCTAAGTGCCAACATATGTGATACAATATGGAATGAGACCGTTTAATGGGTGTGTCTTGTAAAATTATGCATTTAGACTCCGGTTTCTTTTTGAATTTAGCGGAGTTGATCAAGGAAGACATGGACACCTCTGAAAGGCTAGGAACCCAGAAGTTTTGTGAGCAAAGCTTATTTAAAATGTTAGATTTAATGTCTTTTTCTAACGAAACAGGATTCAAGAGGCATCATACATGTCTTGCAAACCAATGCCTTCAGAAAGTTTCAGATTTTGCTAGACATTTAGCCTTGAGGGCTCATGGCATACAGAAGTTTAAATGGACCCAAGTTTCTTAACTGATTTCAAAGAAGTCTATGATATGAAACCATAAAGTTATTTCCCTGTAGTTTCTGTTTTCTTTTACTTATCGATAAGCTGCCTATAAAATGATAAATAACTTGGAAAAATATAGCCTTGCAACTCAATGGTCATATTGCAGAAAATGAGCTGTGATGGTCACAAGTTGAAACTCATCGATCCCTCAATCATCTCCTGTGAAGACATGTGTCACCAAGGCCGTTTCAGTGGTCAGTGTAGTCTGCATATTAAACTATTGGTCCTTGGAGACCAACAGCCTTGACTTTAAAGAAAAATGCAGAAACATGCCAACTACCCATTTGTGTACCTACTGCATTTGATACGCTAATGAGATCAATCTATCTCCTTACAAGACCCAGGATATATCTACTCATTACTGAGAGAATATTCCATTCTTCTCAGAGATATTTCCTTGCACAAAATGCCTATTTATATTCATTCCCTCGAAAATCAAATTGACCAAGTAGCTAACAAGCAAGCTCTAATTATTCAAATAAATTATCCAATGTGTGTTAATTTTTAAAGTAAGCCTTCAGACTTAATCCATTACCTTATTTTGGTGTTCTAGCTAAAAAAGAATGTGCTCAAGTGTTCCTCTGGATTATATTAATTGTTCAGAATATTTTAGCCCAATAAATAAAAATCATTTCAACGATGCGAGCCACAAACTAGGAGATAGCCATCTATATTGGTCCCACCAGAGATGTCAAACTCTGATTAAAAACCCAAACAGTTGCAAGACAAGAAGGAAGCAGCAGAGGACATGCGCACAGAAGCAACTCCACACCCACAAGTGGGGGCAAAGGGTCCTGCACATGGTACAGATATGGGACCATACATATGTACATATTTATACTTATAGCGTACATATAGAAAATCCCTATCTTAATACATTGGCAAGCTAGTAGGAAGATAAAGATCAATACATGTAATAGACGTATTAAAGTGAATGACCTTTACTGAAAAAAAAAATGAGATTGGGGAAAGATGATCATATTCCACAAACTGAAGTAAAGAAATGTGGTTGTGTGCAGACAGATAGGAATTTGTGTCTCCAACCCAGAGAACAGTAATCCGGAGAACAGTATTACCCAGGGATCATTTTAACACAGGTTTAGCTTTGCTTCTCTTGCATCTGCAGAAGAAAGACTGGTGTACTATTTTCTTTGAGATTCTTAGTTCTGAAATTGACGTCTATTAAAATTTTTGCCAGGAAAATTGATTCGATTAGTTAGAAATTATAATTGATTATCTTTGATAAAATTGACAATAAATTGACTATCTTGATTAGAAATTAACTAGCAACTTGAAAACGACATGAATCCATGTAGTGTTGCCCCAGGCTGTGATTACTCACAAACACACTTTTTTTGGTGTCTTTGTGTACGTCCCTTCTTTGTAGAACGAAGTTCCATGGGAGGCATGTGGATCTTAGGTGCCATTAAACTGCGTAAGACGCCAAAGACGCATTGTGGGACAGTGTTAGTCACCAGGGCATCCTGAATTGTTGCACATTTGGTGACACTTTAAAGTCTTTAAGGCTACAAATATCTTTTAAAATGCTTGACTGATTTTTTAAAAAACAACATTTATCTATCAAAAGCAACTATACAGAACGTGACTAAACAAATAAAAGTTATCATTATCCTCCAGAAATGTGCATGTGTATATCTGTGTAGGAAATATCTATTACACATATATTTAGATGTGTACATAATATACATATACAGAATATTTTAACAATTTTTGTATCATAATTTGTCTACTTTTGTACTCTCCTTTTAAAATACTACATTTTGGATATTTCCTCCAGTGGCAAAAACTACTGGCAATGGGGGGCTTGTGGGTTAGCTCAGTTGTTTAAGTGCCTGATGGGGCAGACCCAGTCAGGCGCAGGGGACTGTGGTTTGATCCCCAGCTCCCCATGCCTTGCCCAGCCTGAGACAGCAAAAAAAAAAAAAAATTGTTCTTAACTTCTTAGGGCCGGCAAAATAGCTCAGCAGATTTAAAAGCCTGCTTAGGCAGACACAGGGGCCCAGGAGTTCAATCCCCAGGCCTGCCTTGTCAGCCCCACACCATCCCCAGGGCGCTCTGAGATGGCGATTAAGACTGGACGTGGTGGCACGTGCCTGTAATCCCAGCACTTGGGAGGCTGAAAACAGGAGAATCACTACAAGTCCAATCTATGTAGTGAGATCCTGTGCACCCTATACTAAATACACTAAAAAAAAAAAAAAAAAAAAAAAATTGGTAAGATTTATGTTTAATGGCTGCATAATTTACATTTAGTCCTTTAAAAAATGTAATAGGCTTTGTATATATAGGTGAACTTATCTGTGTGCAGCTGACTATGTCTGACTCCATGCTGAGAGATATTCATAACAGGAATGACGTCATCCTTTAAAAATATTGTGAATGAGCAGTACTTCTAGATGTAACAAGCAGAATAAATTAACTAGACAGTGCACTTAGGCAGTGAATCCTAGGAAAGTATGTGGAATGGAGAGGCAGTGATGAGCTCTCCCAGAACAGACGCACATATACACACAGACATCCTTCACAGGTGATGTTTGGTAAGTTCTTACTTCTTGTGCAGTATATATTTACTCTACCAGAGTTAGGGGGTGAGCTTTCCTTTTATTTTTAAAAATTTATTTACTTATTTACTTACTTATTTATTTTGATACAGGGTCTTGCTATGCAGCTTGGACTCATAGTGATCCTCCTGTCTCAGCCTCTCCAGCATCTGGGGTTGGCACAGCATCCAGTACCTGGGATCAAACCTGGGTCCTTGTGCTTGCCAGGCAGGCACTTAGGCTACCAAGTATCTCCCCAGCCCAAGGCTGAGCTTTCTATCTACACTGTTTAGAAAAAATATTGCCAGTTGCAAGCAAGATTGTACATAACCACATCCAGAAATTCATAAATGGAGTGTTTCTGTTCTTTAATATTCAAGCAGAGATGTGGTGTTGGAATATATGTCTGTTGCACTGGGAAGATCATGCATGTAAAAATCCAAGACAAAATTGAAAATCAGAATGGACAGTACTGGCGTGTCCTTGGTAGTGTGCATTGTGCTCTGAGAATGTTTCCTTTGCTGCAGTAGGAGCCTTAACATATTTTATTTAGTTTACTCCAAACCCTTCTCATTGTAGTCTTTGTGGCTTCACATAATCAATCTTTCTACTCAAAGGTCACTATGAGCTACTATATTCCTGAGGCAGGGAGAAGATGACAAAAATACAATTTGTAGAGGAGAAACACTCCATGACCCCAGATAGTTAAAGGTCTTCAGACACCTTCTGTGAAACAGAATAAACTCACAGTGGCTGTAAGCTAACAAAAATGAATTACCATTGGCATGTTTTATCAAATAAACAGAATCAAGAGACAAGGTTGCATGTTAAAAACATAATAGTGTACCATAAAAGCCTTATGGAATAATAGTTGCTAAACAATTTATGGAAAGAAGTAACAAAGGCAGAACCTAGTAGTTAAAATTTATCTTTCTTTCCTTGTGTGGAATGAAACACTTGATCCCCTAGAAAGAAAAATACCAATGATTTTAGTATTAATTTCACTAAGTGTAAGCATTTTCAATGACACTGAAAAGATAGCATTTTTGGTTTTAGATGCATTCACCAAAAATATATTGGTTTGTTATGATTTATGAGCAGCTCACAAGTCTTTATTTATTGAACTCATCTATCAGACATGGTTCTAAATACTGCAAAATTCTGGGCAGCTGACAGAATGGTGTTTTGAACTGGCCTCTTAATAATGAAATAGGCAGATATGAATGCTCATTTGTCACATGGTTGGGCCTTCTGATAAAGATCTATGTGCAGAGTAGTTGCAAAAGCCATCACCTATCTTCTTCTATGTAATATCTGTTCACCATAAGAGACAGAAAAGCTCATTTCTGGTTATTTTTTGATCAGATGAGTCCTAGAAGAGGAAAAAAACAATAAAGTTCATTTCACTTGTAATCTTCGAATACAGTGTCATGGACATGAGTTTTATTTCTCTGTGGCTGTAGAATAAATGCTAGGGCTTCATAGTAAGTAAACAATCAGTGAAGCAAATTGTCTTCACCCAGAAGGGAAGGTCAGTTAAGACTAAGCCATAAAACACCATATTGAAATCAATAGCAATGCTTCTGTTTTTCCGTTCCTTGTATCCTCTTATTAATCAGGTGTGCTGCATGCTTCCAATCTCATTAGCTTGGTTACTTGACATATTTTGTCAGTGGTTGAACTGTTGAACACCCTACTTATGCCCTGAGTACCGTGGAAGTCACAGTGTTGCAGTGAGACCCATTTGTTGGGGTAGTGAAGTCCTAGTGGTATGTGTGGAAAATGAAGAAAAAAATTGTTTTGGAAAATTGCAAAGAGGGCTCTGATTATTTTTGGAAGCAAAATACCTGCCACAAAAATTAGACACTTGCTTTTTCATTCAGTAACCTTAAAACAATGTATTTTAAAAAAAAGTTCATAGCGCAATTTTTAATATATATTTCCATTTCTTTTAGTTTTTTCTTATCATGAACCTAAAACTAAATCAGAGAAATTTCTGGACAAGGAACAAGGAATGGTCAGTGTTCTGTGTTACCTTGGAAGGTGTCCACTGAGGCCCGAGCAGTAAAAGCAAACACACAGATAACAAACCCAGAGTAGGCTGGTAGTGTTTGCTTTCTCATGCACTGCGCAGACATTCTTTTCTCGACCCAGTGGGTGCTGCACGCATGTGCTTTCCAAATACTAAACCCCCCTCAGTCAAATTACTTAGAGGGTCACATTCTGCATTTTGTAAGGACATGTGAAGAGGAGGTTAAGGGGGATCACTGCAGTGTAAAGCCATCAAGGGCCGGCCAAACAGCTCAGCAGATTGAAGTGCCTGCAAGCAGGCTCAGGGGCCAGGAGTTCGATCCCCAGGCCTGCCATGCCGGCCCCACCCCCGGGGCCCACTGAGATACCTGTCAAGACTGGGCGTGGTGGCACTTACCAGTAAACAGGCTGTAAACAGGCGGATTACTATGAGTCCGATCTAGTGGTGAGATCCTGAACACCTGAGACCCTTCCCTAAAATACAAAGAAAAAAAAAAAAAAGCAAAAAATTCTGTCTCCACTGATATTGAAGCAAAGGCTGACATTTTAACAAGTTGCTTTTCTTTCTCCCATAGTTTATTGAGGATCTACTATGATAGGAACACTACTCATCACTGGGAATATGATAGTGAGCAAGAAAAGAGATTTTATTTTCTTTACATAAAACCACATTTGTATCTTGCGAATATATACCTCTCCAGGGATAATTTAAAGATATAAGAACTGTTTTAGAACATTGTAGAACTTGATTATACAGTTATGGTACTGTGACAGTGGGAAATGAAAAGTTTTCATGACATCAAAAACTACTTTTTCAGGGGCTGGCCAGATAGCTCAGTGGACTAAAGCACCTGCTTAGGCAGAGCCCAGCGTCCAAGGGTTTGATCCCCACCAGGCTATGCCAACCCTGCCCCTAGGGTGTGCTGAGACAGCGTTTGAGACTGGGCATGGTGGCATGCACCTGTAATCCCAGTGCTTGGGAGGCTAAAAACAGGAGTGTCATTATGAGTCTGATCTGTGTAGTGAGACCCCATAGACCCTGTACTAAATACACACAAAAAACTACTTTTTCAGATCAGTGCTAACTAGTAATTATTATTTAACCTAGTTTCATGCAAATTGTTATGATGTATATGGTGTATGTATTGATTAGTTTACAGTTTTCTTGCAAACACGTTAGAAGAGAGAAATTTACCCATTAAGGAATAAACTCAGCCCCTGAGTTTTAAAAGAAAACCCCTCCCCTAGTGGGGTCAACAGTATCTTCTGAGTTGACATTAAAGGAAGTAGACTTCCAGTATGGCTGGAATATACACTGAAAAGACAGAATGTCGGGAGGTGGCCCAGGGGTCAGAAACCAACTTCCTCAGTTATATTGTACTATATTCAATTTAGAGATCTCAAGAAAAAAAAAGTTAGCATTTCAGGATTTCATTTGTCCAGTAAACCAGAAGAGGCAAAAACTAGAATAACCTTTCTGGTTTGTACACAAGAAGGTAAGATGGCCACCTAGTGGTCTCTGTCACACATGGAGGAGATGTTTGTAGCTATGTTCTCACAAACTCAACCGATTATATTATTTTAGTAATTTTTACCTTTCTACCTCAAGATAATTTTAAATGATCATTTCAAAGGAACTGTAGTGCTTGACATTTGATATTTTAACTCAACTTTTAGGTTTTTACTGAAAATCTGAATGCTATACAAAGTTCTGATCCTGTATTCCTCCTTGACTATTAGCCTAATGGCACCAATTCCAAAATGTAAATTATTTTTCTAGCTCATTCTTGAAATTGTCTTGTGCTTTCTTCTCTATATAAGATGTCTTATGGTATGAACATATTAAACTGTTTACATTTAGTGCAGGGGACAGAAGAATTTAGAAGTAAGGGGTGAATTTTTCTTCTGTGAGGTAGAACACCACTGTGGCCTAGCCAGTTTGGTTGAGTTGCAATTTGTTTTCTTCTTAGTTCAGACATTGGACCTGTTACCTGATAATTATTTCTTAATTAAAGATTTAACCTGGGATAAGCTGACTTCATAGGCAAAAAATTGAAAACCTTCTTCTGTACAATTTGTAAACATGACAGACATTCTTAGCATCATTTCAGAACGATTTCATATCCCCCTGCAGCAGTCTCTTAATCATACATTTCATTTCCTATTAGCCATGAAAGGCTTTATAAATGTTAGCTTATGGTGCTAGAAATGTAATTAAAATGTAGACAGTGAGGTTCCAGAGTCCTGAGTGTTTTCTTCATTAGCAGCAGTTAGATTGGCTCAGAAAGGGAAGAATCGGAGGCTCCCATTGACTGTTTGTTTCCCATGCACACAACGGACATAAAAGAAAATTTAAAGCCACAGCTGTAAGAGATGAGCACTGAAGTGTTTCCTGAGTTTTCTGTAGATGTATTTTGTATCTGTGATAATGTTTTGTAAATAATTTGCTTTCATGGAGTTGGGTTATTATATGCAAGCTTACACCTTAGTTTACTGAGAGTCTTAACATTCACTTTGCGATGCATCATCCTAATGGTCTGAATTTGTTAAAATCTTTCTTGTTTCGACTGATTTAAAAGTAGTCTTTGCTCACAGGATTATTCTTCTGGAATTTGTGCATTTCTTGTTAATAGCAACAAATAGAACTATATATAGCAGCACCACTAACAAAATAATGAGACTTTTGACTTCCCAGTTGCTGAAAGGATGTATTGTTTTTCATTGGATTGGCCTGAAAATATGTATGTAAACTCATGTACTTTAAATGGGTTTTTTTAAAAAAACAGCTTCAAAGGCTTTGACTATGAAGATAGATTTTCTCTAACATAGCTGTTGATATTTTCTTTTTAAAAATCTGAGGATGGGGGGCCGGGGAGATGGCTCAGTGGAATAAGCGCTTCCCTGGCAAGCGCAAGGGCCTGAGTTCAATCCCCGGTTCTGCAAAAAAAATAAAATAAAATAAAATAAAAATCTGAGGAAGGGCCGGGGAGATTCCTCAGTGGAATAAGTGCTTCTCTGGCAAGTGCAAGGGCCTGAGTTCAATCCCCGGTTCCGAAAAAAAAAAAAAAAATCTGAGGAATCTCAACGTCCATATTTGTTTAACTGTCTTGTGAAAGCCATTTGTTGAAATGTTCTGGGCAATCACATATGCATTATTCTGCTTCTCCTAATATGAAAATAGCCATCATGCATGGATTCATGAAATAAAACAAATATCTATGTGGTCTATAAAATGAAAAGTACAGATGTATCATTCTCTCGCTCTTCTGGGAATTGTTCTGCGCTCTTCTTTCTCCTGTGCCTGAATGCCCGCGAGCAGCACCATCTCTCGTTTACTGTGAAGAATCAAGAGATGATATATATTTGAGGCACTAAATTTTATAAATTTTGTGATCGCATCAACCCTCCACCTCTTTTCTCTCTTCTCTTTTTCCGCAGGTGATTTCTATTCACTGCTTTCCAAACTGCTAGGAGAAAGGGAAGATGTTGTCCATGTGCACAAATATAACCCTACCAACAAGGCAGAATCAGAGTCAGACCTGGTAGCTGAGATTGCAAATGTAGTCCAGAAAAAGGATCTTGGTCAGCCTGATGCCAGAGAGGGGGCAGAACGTGAGAGGGCCAGTGCTATTCTTGTCAGAGACAGAATTCACAAATTCCACAGACTAGAATCTACTTTAAGGCCAGAAGAGAGCAGAGTGTTGATACAGCAGCCCCTGCCTGGTGAAGGCACACGGGAACCAGAACACACAGGAGGTGCGTCTAGGGTTTTGGTGTGTGTGTGTGTGTGTGTGTGTGTGTGTGTGTGTGTGTTTAAAGGAATTAAATGTGAGATGCTACAACTCTCATGAGCAAAATCTGAAGGGAATAAAATTAACACATGAATTAACCCCTCAGTGAAAGCATTGGAGAAATTATTATTCA